AAAGCTTATGCTCTAATAAATTTGTTAGTCTCTAAGGTGCCACAAGCACTCCTGTTCTTTTTGCGGGTACAGACTAACACGGCTGCTACTCTGAAATAAAAGGAAGTATTTTTTCACACAATGCACAGTCAACCTGTGGAACTCCTTGCCAGAGGATGTTGTGAAGGCCAAAACTATAACAGGGCTCAAAAAAGAACTAGATAAGTTCATGGAGGATAGGTCCATCAATGGCTATTAGCCTGGATGGACAGGGATGGTGTTCCTAGACTCGGTTTGCCAGAAGATGGAAATGGGCTACGGGATGGATCACTTGATGATTACCTATTCTGTCCATTCCTTCTGGGGCACCTGGCATTGGCCACTGTCGGAAGACAGAATACTGGGCTAGATGGACCTTTGGTCTGACCCAGTATGGCCGTTATTTTGTTATGTTCCAAGTCTGGGGTGGTTTGTGTGGAATAGTCTTAGAGTTTGCATGTAGGCCAGCTGTAGACTGCTGTTTGTTATGCCTGATCCAAGTTTTGCCTTAGGAAGAGAAAGTGTGAAATTTTGTCCAACAGTGCTCAGTTCCTAAGGCATTCTGCAGCATATGGGGGCATGTTTTCACTGCCGTGGTACTTGTGGTATAACTTCAGTGTTGCCCCTATCCTGACTCCTGTCTGCTCACAAGTCTCTAGCTCAAGTTAGGTGGCACTTTAAACTCAAGCTAGCTGGCCTGTCAGGGGATACGGGTTAAAGTTCAAGTGTTGCTGATGCTCAAGCAGGTAATGCAGTGGGAACATTGCAACTCTGCATTGCTAGTCCAATCATTCTGTGCAGCTCAAGTGTTATTTCACTGTATAGCCACTCTTACTCAAGCTAGGCTAACTTGAGGGGTTAACTAGAGCTAATTCTGAGTGCTAGTATGTGTATTATTGGTGTGCAGGGATACTGCTCACAGAGGACAGAGTTAAAGTTGCATTGCAGAGGTGGCATGTACCTTACTTTGTGTTTCCTGGTGTTCAGAGGGTTATATTTAGTCACTCTCCATATTCTGGAAGGGCACAAGGTAGCACTGAACAACCTTAATCTGTGTAAATGAAGTTTTGGGGCAGTTAATTTTCCTGGTTAAAAAAAAATCTCCATTTCCCCATGTACCATAGCCAAGCTCTCCCTCTCTGTGCCTCTGACTACTTGGCAGTAATTTCCCCTGTCACAAAAGGCACTGGCTGCACATCAGTCCTAAACCATCTCCTCATCTCCCATCTCTTTGCATGATCCCATTCATACCCCTTCGCTTGCAACCCCCACTGAACAGCTCCTTTCCTCCTCACACTTCTTGGTTTGCTCTGACCTCCCCTTTCCCATACGAGCAGCAGCATCAGGAGAGGGGTGAGCTTTGAGCCCTTTCCCTACTGTAGGAGGCAGCATGGGGAAGGAGGGAAGTTGTAGGTTCCTTCCCTGGGATCAGAAAGCAGTGGAGAGAAGGAAATCTCTGGAGCCCCATGAGGAAGAATTGTTGGAAGAAGGGGGATAATTGTAGGGGAAGAATGTGGGAGTGCACAGATGGCTCCACTTCCCTTCCTCCCCAGGAACGTCACTGGGAGAAGGGTGCCTAACTTTCCCCTTCCCCCTTTTTGTTCTGCTCTATCAGTGCTTCTGAGCTGCAGATAGCAAAAGACCCTCTGATGACAATCCCTTATTCACTGAACGAATCATAGAAAATATTGGCTCTTAAATCAGAAATATTGATCTCCGGACAAAGCTTCCAATAAGGCTCCAAAAGGGCAGAATGTAGACAGAAAGCAACATGCACAACACACATGCTTTGAAAGTTGCCAAGGACAGGACTCAAACTCACAGTACATTGCATGCTGGTCAGGTTCAATGACCACAGCATATCACATTGAGCCCACGCAGTTACTAGCATTAAGCTGTCTGCAAAGCCTCTAACTTGCAACGGAGACCCAGTCTTGCTGCACATGCACGTTTCACTCTCATTGACAGATCTGTTTACCTTAAACTGAGCTGGAATTACAAACTTAACCCTCAATGGCTTTTGGAATATTGTTTCCCCAAAAGGTCAGTGGGTGTCATGCATTTGCTAAAATAAATCTTGAGTGAGTGAAATCAGTTTGGGGAGGATCAGAAGTACAGTTTGAACCCCAGCTGTGTGCAAAAAAAAAAGTTAGAAAAAGCAGGTGATATTGTAAACATTTTTTTAGGACGACTATATCTGGGGAACTCCTTGCTCAAGTTACCCCAAATTTGAACCTTTAATCTTACCCCACATCTCCATGAGGCACAGCAAATTTCAAGACAGTTCAATTCAGCACATGGATTTTAAAGCACTTCGATAGTAAAGCACTCTCAACCTTACTTAGAGCCACATGCTATAATGTTATCAAAGTATAAGGAAAAATGTAAAGGAACTGACAAGAAAGTATTCTCCATAACACAAACTTTTGATGCGACATAAACCCTTACCTGAGAAAGGTACATCTCTCAGAGCAGTGGGACCCCAGCCCCTCCAGAGTGAAAGCCAACCATCTTTGGCCAGTGTATTATTGATGTATATACGCAGTTGCTTGTAAGATAACTGGCGAGACTGCATTTTAGTTCTGATCAATTCCAGTGGACTTACTATAGTTAATGAACCCACTGAAAATGGGAAAAGATTAAGGTTCATTAGTAGGACTTAAAAACAGTCAATTCTGTTAATAGAGCAATTTCCCAAACACTAAAAATAATCCAACATTTCTCCCACCCTATATTTTTGGTTCCTTTCAGCCACAAGATCAGAGGCTATGTCTTCATAGAGACCTAGGCCTGGTCTACACATAAAACTTAGGTTAACCTAACTGCATTGCTCAGGGCTGTGAAAATTTTTGTGCTCTGTGCAATGTAGTTAGGTCCACCCAGCCCCAACGAAGACATAGCAGCTAAGCCAATGGAGGAATTCTTCTGTCAACTGAGACACCATCTCTTAGAGAGGTGGATTATCTGTACAGTCAGAAAAACCCCTTCCATCGATGTAAGAAGCATCTAACACTACAGCAGCAAAGTTGCAGCACCATAGCTGTGCCACTAGAGTGTAGACATACCCTCTGTGTGTGACAAACTGCACTAGTTTGCTTTGGGACCATGCTACCAAATACTAAAAGTTCCATAACGCACACTACAAAACTTTTAGTGCATGGTAGCAGAGTCCCCATAGCCAGTTAGTGTGTGACAAACTAGTGAGCTGTACATTCGACTGTGGCTTGCTGTACGTTAATACCTAGTCTACACTCCAAACTTAGGTTGACGTAAGTTGCCTTTGGTCAACCTGTTAATGCATGTATCTACACTCAAATTTGTCTCCGGTCAACGTAAGCACCCTGTTATAGTGACTCAATAAAACCATCTCCCAGACCTGCCTTGAGCGATGGTAGACCTACTGAGATCAACGCAGTGAGAGTGTAGACACTGTGTGACCTACATCAACCCTAACAGTTCTCCAACAGTTGGCCTGCAATGCCCAACAGTGACCGCTCTGGTCACAATTATGAATTGCACTGCCACGGAAACCAGAAGCCACCGCCATCCTTTAAAACACCCCCATATTTTTGAAATGCCTTTTCCTGATTGCCCAAATTCATGAGCACACCTAGCAGCTCTCCCTTGTTGTGTGTAACTGCCCAACCAGCCATACTAGCTCCACACACTAGACACGGTTTTGCCTGGAGTAGACAGCAGGTACTGGGTCCCCGGGCCTGTGGGAAAAAAGAGGCTGTGCAAGCACAGCTACAGACCAGCCATAGAAGTGTGGACATCTCTGAAAAGATTGCACAGGGGTTGCAAGCGAAGGGGTACGAATGGGATCAGCAGCAATGACACATGAAAGAGAAGGAACTGCTATAAGAGTATCAAAAGGCCAGGGAGGCCAACCATCAATCTGGTGCTGACCCGCAGACCTGTCACTTTTACAGTGAGTTGCATATCATATGTGGCAAGACCCCATCAGTACCTTGCAGATTACCATAGATACCCTGCAAGAGACAGAGAGCCAAGCATGAACAGTGAGGAGGAGGAGGAAAAGGAGGAGGAGCAGGGAACGGGGGGAGAGGTGTGTCCAGCAATGCCAGGACCTGATTGTGACTCGACCACAGTCTAGCCAAGTATGGATGAGTCTGATGAAGGGGAAGGAACCTCGGGTAAGTGTGTGCATGCATTTTTTCTTACAGCGTTTAAATTTGTGCCGGATTCAGTCACAGAGACTCCCCTCGAGACTGTCACTTGATGAGCTGGGATACCACTGAGAACAACCCTCCTGCCAGAACAGGCGCCCCTCCAGTCCTGTCTTGCTGAGTTAGACACTCCAGTCAGCTCCAGCACAGACTCAGTGGTTGGGCCATGCCTCTCTGCAGTTCACTGATATTGAGATTCACTTCAGCCCAGGGCCTTCTCAGTTAACAGGGACTTTCCAAGCGCCCAGTGTTCAGCCTTTCTGGGAGTCTGAACCCCAAATAAATCTGTTTTAATCTGTATAAAGCTTATACAGGGTAAATCCATAAATTGTCCACCCTCTATATCACAGATAGAGAGAGATGCACAGCTGTTTGCTCCCCCAGGTTTTAATCACTTAACCTGGGTTTATTAATAAACAAAAGTGATTTTATTAAGTATAAAAAGTGGATTTAAGTGGTTTCAAGTAATAAACAGAACAAAGTAAGTCACCAAGCAAAATAAAACAAAACATGCAAGTCTAAGCCTAATACATTAAGAAACTGATTACAGGTAATATCTCACCCTCAAAGATGTTCCAATAAACTTCTTTCACAGACTAGACTCCTTTCTCGTCTGGGCCCTATCCTTTCCCCTGGTACAGTACTTGTTAGTTCCAGCTTACATCTCAGGTGGTAAGCAGGGGTTTTCTTATGATTGGCAGCCCCTTTTGTCCTCCTCCACCCCCTTTTATAGCTTTGGCACAAGGCGGGAATCTTTTGTCTGTGCTTATCTCCCCCCCCCCCCCAATGAAAATGTACCAGATTTAAGATGGATTTCATTATCAGGTGACATGGTCACATGTCACTGTAAGATCCCTAGTCTCAATTCCCCATGGGCTGGCCCACATCCTACATGTACACAGGAAGGCTTTCAAGTAACTAGGGCCATTTACAACTGATTGTTTCTGGAGCACCCTTAATGGCCTCCACTTAATATGTTTACATCAGTGATACAAGTTTATATCTTATTCTCCTAACTCCAGATATAGAAAACTGATAAGAACAGATAGTAGATAATGTTTTCACCTCTCAGCTCTTAGAGAGCATGCAAACAAATAGGATGAACATACTTAGTAGATTACAAGCTTTCTAATGGCACCATACAAGGGGTATTTAGCATAAAGCATATTCCAGTTATATCATATTCATAAGCATATTTCCATAAAGCATATGGACTGCAATGTCACAAAATGTAAAGATGGTGCCCAGCTCAGCCCCAAGTTAACAAGACACAGGTATCGACTTTTCTTTATTTTACTACTATGAGAAAAGGTAGTGGTATAACAAACAGAGGTAGAGCTGGCATCTGCTTTTCATTCCCCTGTTGGGTTAGATGGGGGAGGACATGCACATCATTTTTTTTTATACACATAAGGATGTCCCTTGTATCTTCCTAAGAGATTTTGATGAAATTTTCATACAGATACTCTGCAATCCTCTCCTGAAGGTCTCTAGGGATGGCCAGAAGAAGTTACTCACCTTGTGCAGTAACGATGGTTCTTCGAGATGTGTGTTCCTGTGGGTGCTCCACTCTAGGTGTCGGTGCGACGCTGCACCAGAGATCGGCGATTTCTTGCAGCAGTACTCGGCCAGGGGAAGGGCACGCACAGGAGTCATCTCGTGCAGCCGCTGCCACTCCCCCACCGTCCCCTCCATTCCTTCTCTACTGCAGAGCTTGGCTGTGTGAACTCCGAAGTAGAGGGGAGGAGGGTGGGTAGTGGAGCACCCACAGGGACACACATCTCGAAGAACCATCAATACTGCACAAGGTGAGTAACTTCTTCTGTATTGGTAGTGATTGGGTCCTACTGTGAACCTCAAGAACTGTCTGTGGGCAGGATGTATTGTAATATGGAAGTATGAGGCTTGGAGCTCAAGGGCTGCAAACCAGTCCCCCGCGTCTAGCGCTGGGATTATTGTGGCCAGAGTGACCATTTTGAACCTGTGGTTGCGTACGAACCTGTTGAGTTTTCAGAGATCTAAGATTGGTCTCCATACCCCTTCCTTTCTTCTCTGTCAGGAAATATTTGGAAATAAAAACCCCTCCCTCAGTATTGATGTGGTACTGGTTCTACAGCACCCAGCAATAGAAGGTGGTCTACTTCCTGTTGCAGAAGGTGCTCGTGAGAGGGGTCCCTAAAGAGGGACAGGGAAGGGGGGAAGGTAGGGCGGGATGGCTGTGAAAGGAACGGTGCAGCCAGATTGTATGATCTCGAAAACCCATTGATCTGTGGTTATAGCAGCCCAGGCATGATAAAATGGGCGTAGGCAGTGACCAAAATTATGGGATGGGGTATCTGTTGGTGCTAGAGGTATGGGGAGGTCGTGCATACCCTTGACCAAGACTTCAAAATTGTGGCTTAGATGTAGATGGACGAGTGGACAAGGCCTGGTGCTGTGGAGCTCATAGTCTCGGAGCCCGTTGTTTGGGTCTGTTCTGAGTGAAGTATCGAGGTTGTTTACAGTTAAACGAGGTGTCTCATGACCTCTGGTATGGTATAAAGCGAGGGCGTTTGTCAGGCGGTGGATGTATGCCTAGTGTACGCAGTGTTGCTCGGGAGGCCTTCATGGTATGGAGGACGTCATCTGTTTACAACAAGACTAGTGTATGCCTATCGAAGGGGAGGTCCCTCCACTTTTAGCTGTAGTTCTTTTGAGATTCCCGAAGCCTGCAACCATAATGTTCTTCTCATAACCACAGCTGTTGCGGTTGTTCGGGCAGCTGTGTCTGCTACATCCATTGAGGCTTGCAGTGCTGTGCGGGCTATTAACTGACCCTCGTTGATAATGGCAGTGAGTTGAGGACGTTTATGCTCGGGACAGTCCTCCACGAACTCTTGTATTTTACTATAGTTAGCGTAGTCGTAATTTGCTAGTAGAGCAGAATAGTTGGCACTTTCTGCCCAAAGAGGTCCAGTCTCTTGTGTTCTTTATCTTGCAGTGAGGAGAGGAAATTAGGCTGTTTACCGCGCTGATTAGCAGCCTCTACTACCAGAGAGCAGGCTTGAGGATGTGAAAACAAAAATTCCATGCTTTTGGCTGGAACAAAGTATTTCCTGTAAGCCCTTTTCTTGGTGGGTGGTGCCGATGCCGGTTTGCCATATTACCTCCGCAGGCTCTATTATAGCCTCATCCATGAGGAGGGCAAGCTTGGTCGATGATGCTGGTTGTAAGATTTTTAACAACTTATGTTGTTTCTCCTGCACCTCATGTAAGGCAATTTCTTAGTTGTTTGCTACTCTTTTGAAGAGTTCTTGGAACTGTTTCAGGTCATCTGGTGTCGTAGGGGTAGACGGCGTCACCGCTTCGTCTGGTGCAGAAGATGAGTGTGGGTCAGGTGGTGAATCATCCAGGTCTGCCTGAGATAGTATCTCTTCCTCTTCTGTCTCAGGG